CCACCTGGGAGACACACCAAACATGTGGAAGAAGGTGCTCTGGTCAGATGAAACCAAACTCGAACTTTTTGGCCACAATGCAAAACGATATGTTTGGCGTAAAAGCAACACAACTCATCACCCTGAACACACCATCCCCACCTCAGCTGTAGTTATCTGCAGTTCCTCCAGAGTGATCATGGGCCTCTTGGCTGCATCTCTGATCAGTCCTCTCCTTGTTTGAGATGAAAGTTTGGAGGGACGGCCGGGTCTTGGTAGATTTGCAGTGGTCTGATACTCCTTCCATTTCAATATAATTGCTTGCACAGTGCTCCTTGAGATGTTTAAAGCTTGGGAAATCTTTTTGTATCCAAATCCGGCTTTAAACTTCTCCACAACAGTATCTCGGACCTGCCTGGTGTGTTCCTTTGTCTTCATGGTTTTCTCTGCGCTTTAAACAGAACCCTGAGACTATCAAAGAGCAGGTGCATTTATACGGAGACTTGATTACACACAGGTGCATTCTATTTATCATCATCAGTCATTTAGGACAACATTGGATCATTCAAAGATCCTCACTGAACTTCTGGAGTGAGTTTGCTGCACTGAAAGTAAAGGGGCCGAATAATATTGCACGCCCCACTTTTCAGTTTTTTATTTCAGATTCAGTTTATTTGCCATTTGCAGTAAAAGAACCACATCGGAATACATTAGCAAAAAGTCTCCAGTGTGCACAGACAAATACAGACATAAAACAACATTAAAAGACAAAAATAAAAACAAATAAAACAGCAAACAAATGTCACTGTGAAATTGATCGACTAAAACAGTTTCAAAACAAGTGCAAATCATTAAGATTCATTTTATTCGCCATTTGCAGTAACACTACATTGGAATACATTAGTAAAAGTTTCCAGTGTGCACAGGACAAGTACAGACATAAAACCACATTAAAAGACAAAAATAAAACAAATTTTAAAAACAGTAAACAAATGTCACTGTGAAGTTGACCAACTAAAACAGATCTATACAAGTGCAAAGACATTAAAGTGCTCTATTCAAACTGATAACAGCTCGTGGAAAAAAACTATTAGCATAACGAGATGTCCTGCATCTCAGAGAACAGTATCTTCTGCCAGAGGGAAGAAGCTGGAACAAGGCTTTTCCTGGGTGGCCAGAAGAGTCATTGATAATTCTCAGGGCACTGTTAAAAAGTCTGGATTGATAAAGAGCCTCCAGGACAGGAAGTTCACAGCCTACAGTCCTCTTAGCAGAGCGGAGCACCTTGTTTAACGCTCTCTTTTCTTTATCTGTGATGTTACCGAACCACACAGACACAGAACCAACAAGTAAACTCTCAATGGTGCAGCGATAAAAGTTAAGCAGAATCTTAGAGTTAGTGGTAAGTTTACGCAGAAAGTAGAGACGCTGACAAGCTTTCTTAACGACTCGGTCAGTGTTTTTAACCCATTTCAGGTCGTTAGACAGAGTTAAACCCAGAAACTTGCACTCCTCTACGATCTGCACCTGGGAGTTGTCGATTACGACAGGCAAATGAGAACTATTGCGACTGAAGTCGTAGACCAGTTCACATGTTTTCGATGCGTTCAACTGGAGGTTTTACTCCACTGAACCACGTTTTGTATCTCTGCTCTATAAGAGGATTCATCATTGTTACTGATGAGACTGATGATGGTGGTGTCATCAGCATATTTGATGATCGAGTTTGAGTCAGAGGAGGACACACAATCGTGAGTGTACAAAGTAAAAAGCAAAGGACTCAAAATACATCCCTGAGGAGAACCAGTGCTCACAGAAACAACATCAGAAAAACAGTCATTGATTTTCACTCTCTGAGATCTGTCAGTTAAAAGGCTAAAAATATTTGTTAAAGTTTAAATTATCCAATAAATTTCGTTCCACTTCACGATTGTGTCCCACTTGTTGTTGATTCATGACAAAAACAAGTTTATGTTTGAAGCCTGAAATGTGGCGAAATGTTGATACTTTCGCAAGGCACTGTAGATAGCACTACCCCATTGCGTTTACAATGTTTGCCCACACAGAGTAACCTCTCGTCAGACGCTCTTCCCGGTTTGCGTCTAACCAGGAAGCACGGAGGACAAGACTGCGGTCACAGAGATCATGTGTTTGAAATAAACTTACTTTTGAATAAATCCAAATTTTTCTTTCTTGCCTCTCAACACAAACATGTATTGATGTCAGAAAAACTATACTAAAAAAGCTAGTGTCTTGTATTCGTCTGAACAAATCAGAGCACAACACGCCGTTTTATCTAATCAGAAATCATATTGCATTTTGTATACAAGAGCCATGTGAGTCACTTTTTGACTCTTTTGGATGCAAGTTGATTGGCTGAGTGAGGGTGGTCCTCCCGCTTTCACTTTTCTGTATAGAACAAGCTGATCTAAAGATGCTACAGGACAAATATTCACACAAAACTAGTAATTGAACCAAACTGTTTTGAGAGTCAAGACATTTTTGAGAAGTGGATGTCAGGCATTAATGTAGACGATTTCTATTAGTAATCATTGTAAAGTCAATGAGTTATACAGTATATAATTAATATGGCTGATCTTTTACCTAGGAGAAGCAGTGCAAGTGTCCAACCGAACAGGAACAGAAAGGCCAACTGCACGGACTGCTTGTGATTTGGGAGACCGAGACAATGGTCCAACACAGTTGGACCTGAATGACTACCCTCAGACACAATTTGGGAAACATTTGGTTGCTCATCTGCAACCAAATGAGCTTGTGGCACTATGAAACACATGCTGGGCATGTCAAGTGAAGCCGTCACTGCAGTCACTAAGTCGTTCACTGCCATTGTAGAATGTTGTAGAATGTTTGAGCACAATCAGGACAGATACAGCTGTGGGATTAACAAAACTAGCATTTTTTAATTATGTATTAGCTTATAGTTTTTGAGGTTCTACTTTCTATCACAGCAGGGTTGCAAAAAGAGAATTTTGACTTAGCACAGGCCTTAGCTTACAAAGATGTCATTACTGATTCCCTGAAAGAGAAACACATTGATGTCATGGCTGCAGACATTCATACAAGAGCAAAGATTCTGTGTAAGGCAAATGAGATTCCAGAACCTTCTTCAGGTAAACGAGCTACGTCAAGAAGATTAGATGATTATGTCGTGGAATCCTCATGTGGAGCAAAGAGGGAAGCTGGGAATTAAAGGAAACTTTTGTTTCCTTGTTTGGATCGCATGCTGGCTGAACTTGGGAAGCGATTGAGTGGTGTTAGTCAGATGTTGCTTTAAGGTATTCAAGTCTGCAGTCCTATATCTTCCCTTTTCTTGTCTGACATGTGTTGACAAACATGTTAGGACATTGGCATAACATTACCACATTGATCTGAGGACAGAAGAAGTGATAGCTACAAAATTACCTTAAGCGCAAGAGCTAGGCAAAGCCAATGCAAGTCATGGTCTCAGTGTACAACCACTTGGAAAATGAGATGTTTCCGTCCCTAAAAACAGTCTTACGGGTTGCATTGACAATTTCCATCAGAAGCTGTAGCTGTGAGAGGACTGTTACTGCTAATTTACACAGTTACAGCACGTACGCGTTGTACGCGCAGCAGACGCGCGTACATTTTTTACATGTAAACCAATGGGGATGTTTACACTACTAGTGTTATACACGCGTATGACGGACGTATGACGCGAGGCTGTGCCTAATTTAGTAACGCATCTCCCAGTCAAAACACATAGGAAACATTTATTCTAGCGGTCCTTGGCTCTAGATCGCATCCATACTCACTCACGCACGCAGGAGCAGCAGGTTTTACAGTGATTCTGGACATTGTTTTTTAATTTTCATTTATAAAGTCTTGCGTCTGGCCAAACCAGCGCACCAAGACCATGAAGACAAACACATGCATGTGATTTGTGTTGCTCTACATCAGTCCTCTGGCCAGTACTGTCCTCTACACTTCTCCATAGACTACACAGGGACAACTTCAAAAGCTGCGGACCTGCGCGCACGGGCAGTGGACATACAGCCAAGTAATGTTATGCGCATATGCGCGCAGTCAATGCTTACGCGCTGTGGAAATTAACAGTTAGTGTGCGCAGGTTGCACACTTGTTTGAGAAGGATCTCTGGTCAAGGTAGGATTCACAACCTGGAAGTTATATCAATTGAAAAGGAAGTTGACAAAATTCAAAATTCAATGACTCAGAGAGTCATTGACAGATTTGCACGACTTAGAGTGAGGCGTCACAGATTAAAGAATCAGGCTGTGTTAATTGCAGTATGCTGAATTTCAGAATTTATTGAAAGATAACATGTAACTCATTTTGCAGTTTGTATGTTGTACTTATGAGCCAGTCTGTTCTCTTTATGTTTTATTGTACTGTTATTAAAATAAATAAGTCACATGCAAACAGTTCTTTTAATATAATATTGTAAAGAAGGAGTGCCATCTAACATGGCGGCGTAGTAACGGTTGCTATTGTGGCAGTCGGAGTGGATTTTTTAACTTTCAAATAAAACTGAGGAGTACCAACAACGCCACCCAGGGCCAGGACCTGGGAAAATGTGAGCTAAATGAATTAAACAAGCGCACAGGGCCGTGGACATTGACGAGACGTGAACAGTGTTAGAAATGTACAAAATTATTTATTTTATTACAATGATTAAAACACTATAGGCCTATAGGAATAGATAAAAATGGTTAAACAGCATTAATTTGTACAGGTTGGACAAATTAAGCAAGCAAAATAATGCAAAAAAAAAAACAATTTACGGGAAGCAAAGGAAATTAATGGGAAAACATGCAAACAAATGACAAAAAAGGCAAAACAAGCCATGCAGCAAGACACGCATGCAGCAAAACATTAAATGCAAGCAAATCAAACAAACTCAAAACACACAAAATAACTCACCAAACAAAGGGGGTTAACCTAGGGAATGCACAAAAGTGTTAAAATGTCCTTCCCTGTAATGCATGGGCTATTTAATCATCACTCCTGTTGAACGCCGTTTAGTCGGAGCGCACCTGAACGCCTCGCAGAAGACGCCCCACAGCAGTGCTGGTGCGTGGGCGAATCAGAGTGCGCCTTTCACGGCACCGTGAAGACAGTGCACAGTGGTGAGTGTTGTGTATGAGGACAATGAATGGACAAAACAACGATTTATTTTCTGGGGCGGCGGCCCCCGCTTGGGACCGCACGTGGACAACCGTGCCTGCAAAAGGAGAGACACGAGTCTTAGAAGGATTGGAGGAAACTAAACTAAACTTTGTGATCTTACCGGCCAACGCAAGACTCGTGCGCACGAACAGCGGGAGGAGGGGGAGAGCCAGGTAGATTATTGGCTGGTCCTTACTGCAACTCGAAGTCTGAAGCAACAGTGTTTGATGGTCAGCTTTTGCACAGGGCCAACCAATAAAGGATGGACAATGAGCAACTTACCGAGGAGGAGGACATGCACACACTCACAACCCAGACTGTGGCGCCCAAGCCCACAAGCGTGCTCCACAGAGGAGGCAGCCGGTCACCAAACGCCGTGACCACCGCACCCAAACAAAGACATATGCGTGCGCGCTGCGCGTTCCCGTGTCTTTATGGGCACTGCTCGGTGACGCCCACCAATCAGCTCAGGGTAAGGTGTACACCGACATGCCACATTCTACCCCCCCTTAATTTGTCGGCGCCCCGACGACAACTAAAGACCAAAAACTCACAACGAACACTAGACCAAGACAGCAAATGTGATATCCAGTCAGTCCCCGAGAGTGCGAGGGAGACGATAAGGGTTAGGATGACGTCCAGCAGTTGTCCTAGTGGTACGACGTAAGCCCTGTTCACTAGTGCTGGGTTCGGGCACTGCAGCAGCTGGGTCTCCATGAGCCTCCACTGCTACATCCCCTACTGAAACAGGCGCGGGTCCGCTGGAAGGACCATCACGGGGTGGCAAGTTGGATGTTTGAGGAACCAAATCTTCGCGTCTGGTGCACAGACGCCAAGAACCACTAGGAGAAGAGCTGCTACTGGGAGTTTCAGGGGGAGAAAACTCTGGCATAGAGGCCTCCGGTGGGGGACAGGATTGTATATGAGGTTTAAGCATGTCCCTGTGCACAGTGCGCGAGGCTAGTAGATTGGTGACCGGGGCCACAGTGTAGGTTGGGCCATTTCCACCAGGTGCCTTCAGCACCTGAAAGAGATTTTGGTGCCACAGGTCCTGGATCTTATGACGCCCTCGTGCACTATGGTCTCGAAGGTAAACCAAAGAACCAACTTCCAGAGGTGCCTCCCTAACATGAACATCGTGCCTTTCTTTCCTCTTCTTCGCATTCAGAGCTAATCGCCTCTGCGCGCTTGCAAAAGCAACCTTGAGCCTGGAACAGTGTTCCACCAACCAGTCCTGGACTGTGCCCACAACGGGATCCTGAATTTGACCCAGAAGAAAGTCAATTGGGAGTTTAGGCTCTTGGCCAAACATCAACAAGTATGGTGACTCCCCGGTGCTCTGGTGAGGTGTGGTGTTGTAAGATGTGGGAGACAGGAGGCCCAGTCCTGTTTACGGGAGAATGGGAGCGTGCGGAGCAAATTATGAAGCGTGCGGTTGAATCGTTCACATTGACCATTACCTTTCGGGTGGTAAGGTGTGGTCCGAGACTTCTCGACACCATAAATATGGCAAATTTGATGGATCAACGCACTTTCAAAGCTTCGGCCTTGGTCTGAGTGTATGCGGGAGGGTACACCAAACTTAAAGAACCATTCATTGGTTAGAACCTTAGCAACAGTGGGAGCTCGTTGGTCACGTGTGGGGAATGCCAATGTATACTTTGTGAAAACATCGGTCATTATCAAAACATTTTCCACCCCGTTACGAGTTGGCTCAAGGACAGTGAAATCGATGGCCAGAATTTCGTTGGGTTTTGACGCAAGCAAATGGCCCATGTAGCTATGAGGAACTGGTGCGGAGTCCTTCGCTGCTTGACAGCGTTCACATTCTTGCACCCACTGCTTGATGTCAGAGGTCATCCTGGGCCAGTAGCACCTTTGGCGCACTAGTTCGGTTGTTCTTTCGATGCCCTGATGGCCATGTGCCTCATGGAGCTCCTGGAGGACCTGCTGTTTTAAGGTAGCAGGCAAAAGGACCTGAAAAATCTCCTCACCCCCATCGGGCCGCCAGGAGCGACGATACAGCACCCCATCCTGTTCGGTCAGCCTGTCCCATTGCTGGAGTAAAGCCAGCATAGGCTTGGAGAGGCGATGCCGTTGTTGAGCGGTCGGTGGCCTCTTCTGTCGCCAAAAGACCAAGAACTCCGACAGAAGTGGATCTGTCCTCTGCAGGGCACCAATGTCCGTTAAGGAGCGACCAGGGAGGGCAGAAATCAAGGCCTGTGACGCAACAGGAGGCTGGCCTTCCTGCTGAAGGAGGAGAGGAATTGAGCTTCCAGATAACACACTGTCCACCAAGTCTGCAGAAGTCACATACTGCCTGGATAAAGCGTCAGTTATTGGGAAGGAGCAGGAAAGCCACGAACAGTAGCCGCATAGCTGGCTGGCTGCTCCGGGGTACGGGCCGGCCAGTGACCGGTTTGTAGTCCGCTGCTTGAGAAGAGCACAGCACGGTTTGGCCGGAGACAGCTCCGGGAGCAAGTGTGATGGTGGGCACAGCAGAGTCACACCGCGACAGGCTGTGAAAGGCGGCAGACGCGGGTGACCAGGCATGGACACAGTCCAGGTGTTGAGGCAGCATCAGATACCACCGGTACCAGGCAAAATCGGTACCGTTAAACCGCTTACTTTTAACAAAGCAAACTTTTCCGTCCGGAGTTAGAAGCAGCAGCAAAAACGCGCCAGCGTCCTCTCACTTCCGGGTGATTAATCAGAGTCCCAGCAGGAGCAGAGGGCTGCCTCCGTTCAATCATACAAAGCTAAAGTGTTTGAATTCCAGAACAAACTATATAATGAACAATCTGTTTGTAATTAGGGATATAATGGACAGTTCAAAGCAGAAAGACAGATGCTTCATTTGATGGCCCTTTGACAGGGTAGACCATGGAGCCTCGTGGATTAGCCTGCTGTTTTTGAGAGCTGCAGTAATGCTGAAAGTGGGGGGAGGTCGGAGGTCAAAGGGGGCATATGGCACGGCTGTCCTCTTCATTTGTTGCTCATCATAACACACCCATTCATAAATTGCTACATTTTTACTATTGTCTTATTTAAAGGTTAAAATGAGCACAGATTAAAAAAATTAATTGCTCAACTGAAATAAAAAAATAAACAATAATAAATGAAAATGAAATATGTCTTTCAACTGAAGAAGAGACGTTGTCCCATACACCTGACATGTGATTTCACTTTTGACCTAAGACAGTTGGTTTGTGTGCAACTTGCACTGAGCAGATACGGTAGTTCACATTTGTCTGTACCTCACCCTAAAGGGCTCGACACACGGGAGGCGACAAATGAGAGCGATCAGCGAAACTCAACGCTGTCGCTCAGATAACATGACAGACATGATGCGGCAAGCGGCACAGGCCGGCGATGCGCTGCGCTCCAGGGCGACGCGTGGGTCTTCCGTGGTTTTGATTGGCTGTCAGAGAGGAAACGTTGGGGTATATTAAACACAGTTCAGGGGTCAAAAGGGGTCCGGCGGCAATTATGGATCGTAAAAAGATTCTGTTAGAGCTGTGTGAAATATTACTCCTGAATTTGCTCAACAAGAAGCGGAGAAGACGTGAATGGGTCCATCCGATATTGCAGACGAGACAAATACACGGAGAATACCATCACTTAGTGAAGGACCTTAAAACTGATCCTGATCAGTTCCGTGCCTACTTTCGGCTCAGTCCAGAGCTGTTTTCCCACCTTCTCAACATGGTAACGCCAAAGATAGAGAAGATCCACACAAACATGAGGGAGCCTATAAGCCCTGAAGAACGGCTGGCTATCTGTCTAAGGTAAGTCAATATAATGTGAAATAATAATCATGCATTATTAATGATAAAAAAATAATCATCTAATAACAATAAAAAATAATCATGTAAGATATAAGAAATAAGATTGTAATGCAATCATGTAGCCTAATAAAATCACCAATGTAAAAAGAGTAATCATGTATAATAACCATCATGTTTTTCTATTACCAATTACATACATCTATTCTATGTGTTTATAAAAGAGTGATTGGTAATGTCCAGAATGTATGATGCAATGCATTTTTTATTCACATTTACATTGCCCTTGATATGAACCACAAAAAGGCACAAAAAATATAGCTTATTTCCTGTAGTGCTTAAACTCTTCTTTAACTTAAAATAAATAACATAGAACAATCCTCTGCATTAGGAAAGAACAAACATTTACAGGCCAACTGTGCAAAACTGTTATAAAAATAAATACAAAATCGGACGAAACAAAAATATCACTCCTCTCCATATTCTAATTTGTGGAGCACTTTCATTATCTCCACCTTGGCCATCGATTTCTTGGCTCCTGTCAGGCGCTTCAGTGATGGCAAAAGACTTTGTAGATAGAGTTCATCCTCATCAGGCTCCTTTAGCTGGGCTTGGATTTTATCAACCCTGTTGAGGATTGATGTTTCAAAGCTGTCAGCAGGCCTCTTTCTTTTTTGAGGTGTAGGTTTGTGAGAGGATGATTGGGGTGTGTGGAGGATGGTGGTTGGCTGCTGGACTGACTGGTCTACTGAGGATGGGCTACTGCAGTCACTGACTGCGTCAGTGGTGAGCGAGCAAACAGAAGAGCCATCTTCATTCTCCAGCACTGGTTCTAGTGTGAGAATTATCTCATCCTCTTGAGGGTCGTCTGCGGTCATGTTGCCACTTGTGACACGTTCTTTTATATATGGCTCCAGGAAGGACATGATTTGGAAATACTTCCATGTCTTCTGCCCACCAGCAGCAGATCCACTTTTCTTTTCTTTCATCGTCTTTCTTATTCTCATGTAGGTGTCTCTGAGATTCTTCCACCTCTTTTTGGCCTCCTCACCTGTAAAACAAATTGGAATTCAATAAATAATTAACAATTTATATTCAAATACAGTATAATTCTTAGTCTGACTTTAAACCTGTGAGAATGTATCTGCAAAAAAATATTAATCATGTTAAAAATAAATGTTAACATTTTTTAATCATGTCAAAAACACGTTTCAATCATGTCAAAAACACGTTTCAATCATGTTTAAAACATATTTTTACCCTCATTTTTAAATCATTTTAAAAACACTTTTTTTCTCTTTTCAGATTCCTAGCAACGGGAGATTCCTTTTCAACAATTGGTTTCAATTATCGTGTGGGCCGCTCAACAGTAGGACAAATAGTTGGTGATGTGTCTCAGGCCATTTGGGATGTGCTGCAACCTCAGTACATGCCAGAACCAACAACAGAGGACTGGAAAGCCATTGAAGATGGTTTTAGAGAGCGATGGAACTTTCCCAACTGCATAGGAGCTCTTGATGGGAAACATGTAGTGCTGCAAGCCCCTCCATCTTCTGGCTCTAAATATTTTAATTACAAAGGTAGCCATTCAATTGTACTGTTAGCTGTGGTTGACGCAAATTATATGTTTAGGGTCATTGATGTGGGTGGGTATGGGAGAAACAGTGATGGGGGCATACTGTCGGAGCCTCCCCTGGGGAAACGTTTGAAGGCTGGCACACTGGGCATACCTGGAGACACCACACTACAAGGCTCAGACCACCTGGGGCCTATGCCACATGTACTAGTGGCAGATGAAGCCTTCCCTCTTCAACGCCACATCATGAGACCATATCCTGGCAAACATCTAGAGAGAAAGAAGAGATGCTACAACTACTGTTTGTCTCGTGCTCGAAGAATAGTAGAGAATGCATTTGGCATTCTTTCAACACAGTGGCGTGTTTACCGCCGTGTCCTGAGTATCTGCCCCAAAAAAGCTGACCATGTTGTGAAGGCCACCTGTGTGCTTCAAAACTACATGAGAAGAAATGGTGAAGTTGACAGAGCTACACCATACACCCAAGCATCACCCACTGACGACATGACAACAGACGCAGGTTTGCAGCCCATCCCACAGACTGGATCCAACAACTCAAGCAGAGGCTTCTAAAATAAGAGACAGATTTTGTGATTATTTCTCCTTGGCAGCATGAAATAGTTTAAACTGGAAAAGAATGTTAAATATTATCATAAACAATGAATGTACATATTTTTTTTATTAAAGTTACATTAGTATTTACATATACTTTGTTAAAATTATTACATTGTATGAGAAGTTGAACTGTAGTATATTTTACAGTGATGTTTTTGTTCATATTTTGATTAATATGCATTCTCATAAATAAATAGCTAAATAAATACGTAAACAAATTCACACCTCATGCACTAACTGCAAAGACTTTTAGCCTGTGATGGAAAGTAACTAAGTACAAAAGTAAAAGTACTGTAGTTACTTAAGTAATTATTTAAGATATCTGTACTTGGCTTTACAAAATATTACAGAGAATAGTTTTTAGTTTTAACGCTACTCCCCAACATTTTGAGAGGTTTTAAATGTCTATGAAAGACTTTTAATTTTTACTCTTAGCTAAAGAATTTATTTAATCATGTACTTTGCTCAAATAAACATTTCCTTGTTTTGATACTAGGTTCATTGAGTAGCAACATTTAGTAGGCTACTTTTGATACCAGTGCAGTGCTCTAGCCTAGTTGTTCGTGTGTTGTTGTTTTTCTACTTTACAAAGTAGCTAATATAAACGTACCTGGCATGTTGATTCTGGCGCCAACCAGCGCCCAAGCCGCCGCCTTCTTATTTAGATCTCTGTATTCTTTTGATGAAATATCATACAGCTCTGGAAAGTCTGAAACTGAGAGAATCAAAGTTTCTTCCATGTTTGCTCGCGTTGTTTTGTTTTTGCCAATGAGATGACCGAGTAGTGTCCTGACTGCTGATTGGTCCGTCAATGCCACCTCCGCTGATTGGTTCTCACCTTGACGACAGCGTCGAAATGTTGAGCCGATTTCAACTTTCTGGGATCGCGTCGCTGACCTGCGCGTGCACGATACATGCACGAGCGGAAGGATTTCACACGCACGTTTTTTGACCGTCGCTGAGCAGGAGGCTCGCTAGCGATTGACGCTATGTTGCGCACGTCCCATTGAAAATGAATGGAGGCGATGCGATGTCGCATCCCGTGTGTCGGGCCCATAACCCTAACATCTGTGACTACAAGTTTGAAACCTCTCAATGCACAATAGTACAAAAACATTATATCCTCATGTTTCATAACTTTTTAAATCCCTAAGTGCAGTTGATGAAGCGCATATATTACTTACACAATAAGGAATACTGTAGTCCTGATGTAATGGCGCAACAGTGAATGAGTTCAACCCGGAGAGACTACAAGAGACAATAGGCATTTAAGAGTTCCTTATGCTTTTGAGATTTTATGGATAGAGTTTGTTTATTGGTTTGGAGCATAGGCCCCGGCGGTGCCCGTGCTCTGAAGGGATCTCTGAAGGGATCTGTGCATGGGTGCAGAATTGAAGCAAGAGCAAGAAGAATGTTAAGCAAATGTAATTGCTGGCAAAGATTGTGGCGCTACTCCCCACGGGCTCCGTTAGCGGCAAAGGAGATGCTAAAACTAGGCAAAATGCTAATGACACACTCGGGCGCATTACATACATCACAGTAACTCAGATCCAAACATTTCAATCTGCAAAAGCAGTTAACCGCTCCCACCTGTTAACGGAGCTCAATGGAGCACCTCCAGACCTTAGTACGAAATGTAATTTGTACTATGGTACTATGACCAGGCTAGGGAGGAGGTGGTTGCAGCTTGAAAGTCCGTTTGATGAGCTGTGCTCTGCTTTGCTTTTAAACGCTGGCTTGATTGACACGGCTGGCAGGGAGCTGGCAGTTTATGAGTTGATTATAACAGGCTGAGTAAGGCGTGGCCTGGTGTAATAACGTAGGTAGTCTACCATCCTGAACCGCCGCTTAAGCTTCGTTTATAATACTGTGATAATGTGAGATGAGCCTTGTCTTCAGAAGTCTTGTGTTGGAATTTTAAAGTGTAGACCAGTGGGGGCGGGTCCCAGCTCAAAAGTGGCCAAAATGATGTGCGCTGACATGCTTGCAATACCACCCCGGGCCGATGGGGGTGGACCCAGAAGTAGAATTAGCCAATGCTAACATATAGCATTGGCAGACCTCTCGAAAACGTCTTTACAGGATGGACCAAAAGTTGGCTCTTGGCCCAAAGCTCCGTTCCACATGTGTGTCAATGCTGAGGGGGGTGAATTTTTTTGGACCACTCTAGTTTACTTGTAGCCTGGCCATAGCCATCCGTACGCGCCGCTCAATCATCATTTCACTGCATGTAACCGTCTGGGTCTGGTCCCTGTGTTAGCGAATACAATCGGTCGTATTTCGACCGGCTACTCAGAGAGCGCGTAAGGCGGGTGTTGTAGGTCGGTGCCGGTGACGTCAAGAGTTTGCGCCGAACGGGCAGGTTGTAGTTTGGCAATGGCGAAGAATGTGATAGTAAAGTAATCTGGTCTGGTTCTATCAATAAATTGAAGCAGGAGCAAGAGGAATGTTTAGCAAATGTAATCGCTGGTCAAGATTGTGGCGCTACTCCCCACGGGCTCCGTTAGCATTAAAGGAGATGGCTAGGCTAAATGCTAAATGCTAACAACACACTCGGGCGCACTACAAACGTCATGGTAAACTCAGATCCAATCTTTTCAATCTGCAAAAGAAGTTAACCCCTCCCACCTGTTCACGGAGCTCAATGGAGCAAATCCAGACCTTAGTACGCTGGAAATAATACCTTGAAAAAAATATATGAAAAAAAGTAAAATACTACTTAAAATAAGAAAAATTATCTGCCAATAGAACAAGAAAATATGACTTGACAAGATTTCTGAAAATAAGAAAATAATACTAGCCGCAAATGACTTGATTTCAAGTATTATTTACTTATTTCTTTAACATTTTTGAGAAAAGTTGTCTGGAAATAAGAAGAAAATACTTATTTCATATATTGAAATAAGTATTGCAATTAGCAATACTAGTATATTTTTCTTGAGTTATAAGTGAATAATGCTTGAAATTAGAAGGGTTTTTTGGGGATTTAAAAAAAACAAAACAATTAAACAGTCATTATTTTTATTGCTCAAAAAGCAAGTAACATCTCAAGTTGCATATGAAATGAACAAATATGGACAAATGCCTCTACAAATGTACATTTTCAATAAAGATGCGAGTACATAACCTTTTACACATATTATTGTGTTTAATACAACTTTAGTCGTGCATGTACGTTTCCTGTATAGAAGAAAAAAAATGCTTCAGATCTATGCATATGAAAATTGGTGATACAACCGAAATTTTATATTTTGTTGAGGAAACATTTATGAATCACTTTTTTTGTAGTTTGAAAGATTTCTCAGCTTTGATTTACTAAACTATAAATGACACAATTTTCACGTGGATAAAATCAATATAAGACTTATTGAGTACCAGGAAAAAAAAACTATTTTAATTGGGCCTAACTTGTTACAAAGTAGAATAGTACGTACTACTTGAAGAACAAACACAAATCACACATCTTTACTTTTTACTACTTATGTGTTGAATCTTTTCCATTCAGCCATGGCTTTTTTGTAAGAACTGGTCATGTCCCCCTCATGGATTGTGTCCAACAGTACCTCTGTCTGGAACACAGATAAGACTGTGGCGATGCATTTGGGATACATGAGGTGAAAGGTGTAGTAACATCCAAGGAGATAGACCAGGCTTTCTTTGAGGTCCTCTTTAGGGAAAGTCATTAAAGCCACATTTCCAATGGCAAGGATGCAGTTCGTCTCACAAACTACTATCACGGGGCTGACCAATGGTCTTGATTGGAGGTAGGTGTTGGGGTCTTCTGAAAAAGTAATTTAATATTTACTTAAATATGAAAAAATGAGCAAAAACAAAAGTATACCCATCTTACCTCCAAAATATGAATCAAAGCCTCGCTTTGATGTGTCAACTTCTTGGGCAGAGAAACTTGAGAGGGGAACATCTGGGGTAGCGCTCTTATTACAGTAATTGGATTTCTCACTGTTCATAACATGTATAAAAATAAATCAATGTCTAATAAGTCATTAAACAAAACGCAAATGAACTATCTACTTACCCTGGTCCAGTGTAGGTGGGCCGATAATTTTTTTGAATACACCATAAAATTGTGCTTGGCTAAAGAAACACAGCCAGCCTTTCTTCAGCTCCATGGTGAAAAAAGGATTTGCTTTATCAAGGATTCGCTGCAGTTCGTCTATTATCTAATAGAAGTATGAAAAGATATTAGAATAGTTAAGAAGACATCATGAAATAATATCCCAGTGTTACCCCTTTCGTTTACGTGGCCTAGTTCTTTGAAGCAAAGATAAGCTTCTAGTATCTTCGCTGGCCTGTCTTGTTCTCTCAATGTGTCTGAATCGATGAAAGCACGCCTGGCTTGAAATTCAAGATCCAAAAGCTGGGATACATCTTCCTTATTTGGTTTAGCCTTGGTTTTGAACATGTCTTGTAAAGTTTTGTAATGCCTTGCTTGGCTCTGTGCGCTTTCTGAAAAAAAAAAAAATAGGTGAATTAAATCAAAACAATTTCAAACAATATGCAGTATAATGGTGGTAAGGATGCATCATTTAAACCAAGATTGAGATGACAGAAAGCTGGATCTTAGTACCTTGAAATTTTAGTGAAATACTATTTGGATTATCAGGGGGTGTCTTTGTGGCAGTGCCTGGTGGAGGAGTAGACTTCTCAAGAGTGTTTGTAGAAGATGATGAGGCAAGAGATGTTGCAGAAGTAGGCGATGAAGCAGGCGACGAAGCAGGCTCCTCATTGTCTTCAACACAGAGCTTATTGCCACTATCAAAGTGTCTGTGTGGTTTGGAAACATCACAGATAAAGAAAAGAGATCTTTAAACAAGGTGCTCCGCTCTGCACAGAAGATATCGCTCTCTGAGATGCAGGACATCTCGTTACGCTAACAGTTTTTATCCACAAGCTGTTATCAGTGTGAACAGAGCACTTTAATGATTTGCACTTGTTTTGAACTGTTTTAGTCGATCGATTTCACAGTGACATTTGTTTACTGTTTTATTTGTTTTATTTTTGTCTTTTAATGTTGTTTTATGTCTGTATTTGTCTGTGCACACTGGAGACTTTTGCTAATGTATTCCAATGTGGTTTTTTTACTGCAAATGGAAAATAAACTGAATCTGAATCAAAGTTGAGGCATCGTCGTCTCTTCCTTGATGGGGTGGCACCTTGTCTATTTTTTGGAGTAGACACATTCTGAACTCTTTTGAGTAATTGTTTTTTTTACTAAATCCTAAACCAAATAACAGTAAATAATTTGAAACAATACATATTTAGTGTTATCATCAATAATGAATTATACAACAAAAAATATTACCAAGACTTACCCACTCTTGTGCACTTTGGGTTGATTTGTCTCTCAGGAAGGGATAGTATTCAATTAGACGCTTGGCCATGGTTATCAATTCACGAGAGCACGGGTATTTAAAGTCATCTCCTGAGGCCCTTTTGATGGCAATCATACTTGTCACTGTTTTTCGGATTAATCTGCAGCGCAGGTCCTTTGGAAAGGTGTAGTCTCCTTCTCCAGCTCGTTGCTTTGTAAAGAATTGATGTCTCGCATTTTCCAGATCTGTGTCTGTGTAGATTACATATTCTGATCTCACAAACTAAACCTTCTTATTGACTGCAGACCTCACTTGACTTGTGTTAGGAGAATTGTGTGGTGTTGGCGAACAGAAGTTGCTATCAGAAGACATAAGCACTGCTGAAGATGAGCTACATGATGTTGCTG